CGCTAAAATTTCGCTGTTCGTCAGGGAAAACTCGATGTAGTCGCTGATTGTAATTCATACTGCAGCTGCGCCGCGTTTACCAGCAGCAATCTGTTATACCTTGAAGTGCAATTATAGAAGGACTGTGAGTTAATCCACTCAAAATGTTGGTTTTTATCGAATAAGATGTGTGTTTCTTCTGTAGTTTTAAGTGTGGTGAAATTGAAGAATGATTTCAGCCAAAATCTAACACTGTGACATTGCGGTTCTCTTGAGTACACGGCAACTCTCTCGAGTCACCAGAAGATGAGCTCTAAGTCCGTTTTGTTTAGTTTTAACATTTCGTCCAATGCAAGAACTCTGTCATTTTCTTTACGGAAGGACCAGTAGAAATTCTCGCTTTAAACCAGTTTCTTTCAATCCGTATGCCTGCTAACAAGTTTATTTTCATTAAAATATGTTGATGGGACATGGAACTTATTTACCCGATGCATTTGACGGTTTCTTGATTTGGTTTTTGTCTTCATGCATTATAATAATTTTTCGGAAAAACCATAGCTACCAGATAGTTTGTATACTCAGGCAATTAGCCTGAAACTGCAACGTACGATTCCTTCTTCGGGCTGAAGTAACTGTTCTTTTCGTCGCGTCGTTTAAGCGTGAGATAATTCTGACAAGTTTTTTTATGAGTTTTTGTTAGAAAATGTAATACTCCGTAAGAGAAGTGCATAAAAAGCAAACCAAACATATCCTGTCCGCAATATCGCAGTAAATAGCATGAAAATCTTTACCGACGAGGTATCCTGCCACAATATACGAAGCAGCTTCATGTGACCTACGCTTTGCATTTGTCAGTACTCAAACCAAGTTTAAAGGACGTCTTCACTGTGGAAGGGCACAGGGTTTTTGTGATCTTTCGTCGTAATTTTCTGGTTTCCAGTTATTTCGAAAGTTACCTCTTGTTAATGAAACTATTCTATTCAAGCGCCTCCTGCCACCATTGGGGAAAATGACAGTGATCAGTTCGAGCTTGTAATTTCAAAATTAGTTTGATGAAAGAAATGATTTTAGGCATGGGTGGTGGTTTAATTATTGAACCAACATCCCATGAGGGAGAACCCCTGAACAAAAGTGTAGCTTGTTTGTCAACAGTCTTGATGTGTTGAGACATTTTAGAGAATAAGACAAATCGAGCATCCGTTAGTTATTTTTTCACTACGATGTACGCAAGACTTCATACTCTTTTCATCAAACCAACTGTAACTTGGTGCTGTTACTGTTTAAAAAGAACCCTGAAATAACTGGTGCGTGCTTTAATGATACTCTAAGCAGCCATTTGCTTTTTTATAATCCAGTAAATGGGTATGTTGTGGTCCTCACAGTTGAATGTCTCTCCATCTAACACTTCATCCAGCAGTTTGTTTGTTTTATTCGGTCTCTTGTCTCTCTTCGTATGATGCCAGACATTTTTGCCCAAAGTAATTAGCTTCGTAGACGGAAATCCTTGGAGAGCACTGCGCGTATGCACTTAGACCGCGCATACCCTTGGTCGATTTCAGTTCTAGTTGGCTGACCGTTGTCATTCTGTCACTGCTTCTTCTACTGACTATTTTTGGCTGGCAAGAGTGGCATTTTAGACTTCCTGTATCCTCCCCCACCTTAGACTCTGCACCCTTTGTGAAGGCGACTTGTAGACACTAAAGCGCTCTCCTTGCTTGAAAATCAGCTATTGTTCTGCCTCTCCTGTTTTCACTGCAGTTCCTTATTTGTGTTGAGCGTACTTTAGCGGAGTGAGCCCGCGAAGACAATGTTATCCTGTAATAATCAGACGTAATTATCGCGTTTCTTTTGTGAATCGTAATCATTTTTGACACAGGGGTGGCGTTCTCTCGCATCTTCTCTCCTGGTACCCGTAAGTGAGGTTGTATAGCTGAAAGATTCTGTGGGTGCCCATACAAGCAGATTTGCGGGTCCCGGGAAGTAATTGAGAAAAATCAGATGTTCCAGCGATCTCATCTGCTTCTGCACAGATTCTATGCCAAAAGGCCTTTGTTTATGCAGCTTTTTTGTTAACCGACTATCGCAGACTTTGTCTTTCTGCCCCTAGAAAGTATACGAGGTTCTGGCTGATTCAACCCAGCTCAAGTGCGGACACTAGCTACAATCCACACATATGTTTTGCCATTTTTGCTGATACCTGAATCAGTTGTGAGAGGCTCTGGTCAGGAACGGATCAACCAGAATTCCCCGTGTGTCTTCTGTGTAGGAAGGCCCTAACAACATGTTGGGGGGGAGGGGGGGGGGTAGATGCGCTTTACCAGCAGGTGGGCCAACTTGGGGCACAGCGCGCGTGAAGTTGACTCTGCAGATGCTGCACCTGCCATAAAACATGCGACGTATAGGCGTGTGAAGACCCGCCTAGGCGTCAGTTTCTCGGTACCTCAGCAACTGCACCCTGTCC